TAAATTGTAATTGTGTTATTTATATTATTCCTCTCATGAAAACTGGGACGGGCTTTCAAATCTTAATTTGGAGCAGCAGCAAACTAAACGTATAAAGTTGACTGTTTTTTATTCAAGCACTAAAAAGTGCGTGTCAGGACGGTTCCTTTCAGGAGTTTGTAACAAGCTGTAACAGTATTCATGTAAAGACAACATGCGTATCTGAAACTATACAGGAAACATTTTATTTTGTAACAAAGAACCTTTGACGTTTGAAAGAACTGGACAGCTCAGTTTCAGATGAACTCTCCTTGCTCTGCTTGCTGCAGAGCTCTTATGTTTGAAATACAAATGAGACTTTTGTCTTAACCAAAGTTAGTCTGACGCCTTGTTTTTGACTAAAGACCCCAGAGAAGATCAAAATGTTTCATTGGTAGTGTCAGTAGATACCAAATAAAAAAGCTGAACCACAGTGGTGTTTGGACAAACAGCTGATTTCCATCTAAAGCCAAAGCACAGAGCAGACACAACTGTACGTACAGCTCAGGCTTTGTTACACGTGTGCATTATTTAAACGACATGTTTGAATGAAAAGAGCACATAAACAGTCAGATCTAAAATACAAAAACTAAGACATAAAAATATATGTTCATTTTCTGAAGCTAAAATCTCACATTTGGACGCATCTCTCTATAAGACTGGTTGCCACCAATTTTTTACACCATTTTTAGTGTAGTTGTTGAGTTGTCTGGCACTCCTTAGCTTGTTGTCACAGTTTAACTTGCTTCTTTATTTATTTACTATAGATAGATATTTAAGACAGCTACTACTACTTTTGTCCTCCACGTGTCCAGTTTCTTAACTGCATACAATGCCAACATCTGCAGGAGTTTACAGGAAAAAGCTCTTTTTGTCACCGTGTTGGTGACAGAACTACACGGCAGTGTTCAAACAAAAGAAATCAGAACCAATTATGTGTTTCGAAACTGTGACAATGTTTCATCCTATAAGTCCCCCAGAAAAAAAACTACTGCTCAACACCACTCGGGTCTTTCTCCTTGGACGCAAAGACTTCAAGAAATGGGCGGCTGGCTCAAGACCTTTGTGGAGTTAGTAAAGTGAGAAGACTAATCTGTGTAGTTTTAAAAGCAAAGGGTTTTCCCCCATTCTTACTCCAGATGAGGCTTTAAACTAGACCAGTGCAGATCACAGAATCATGCATCACACAGAGTCGTATAGAGATTCTTTGACTCTGATATTATGTACTGACTTAATGAAAAACTCTTCTAAGCAGATGAAACACGTTTTCCACTCGTGTGCAGCCTGTCATGACGTTTGAAATGTGCTACTGATGTTCAGAAAGTTCTTAGTTGCAAGTGTCTGCATGAGCTGTCTGAATTATTTAGACCACCTTCATAAATTTGTGTTACATTGTAATTTAAAGACAAGACTGAATGTCTTTTATCATCCAGCTCTAACGACACTC